GATATTGCTGGGGTTAGATTTGTAGTTATTACGGTACTTGTGTGTTAGACTGTAGTCATTATGTAATGCTGTGGTTAGACGTAGTCTTTACTGGTACTGCTGTGGTTAGACTGTATTTCGTGACGGGGTATGCTGGGGTTTTTAGACTGTAGTCATACTGATACTGCTGTGGTTAGACTGTAGTCATTACTGATACTGCTGTGGTTAGACTGTAGTCATGACTGATACTGCTGGGGTTAGACTGTAGTCATATGATACTGCTGGGTTAGATGTAGTCATTACTGATATTATGTGGTTAAAACTGTAGTCATTACTGATACGCTGTGGTTGGGACTGTAGTCTTTGACTGGTACTGCTGTGGTTAGACTGAGTCATTACATATACTGCGTGGTTAGACTGTAGTCATTACTATACTGCTGTGGTTAGACTGTAGTCATATGGTACGGGCTGTGGTTAGACTGTAGTCATGACTGATATTTGCTGGGTTAGACTGTGTCATACTGTACTGCGGTTAATGTATCATTACTATACTGCTGGGGTTAGACGTAGTCATGATGATACTGTGGGGTTTTAGACTGTAGTCTTTACTGATACTGCTGTGGTTAGACTGTAGTCATTATGATACTGCTGTGGTTTAGACTGTAGTCATTACTAATACTGCTGTGGTTTGACTGTTATCATACTGTACTGCTGTGGTTAGACTGTAGTCTTTACTGTACTGCTGGGGGTTTAGACTGTAGTCATTACTGGTACTGTGGGGTTTTAGACTGTAGTCGTACTGGGAAACTGGTGTGGTTAGACTGTAGTCATGACTGATACTGCTGGGTTAGACTGTAGTCATTACGATACTGCTGTGGTTAGACTGTAGTCATTACTGATACTGCTGTGGTCAGACTGTAGTCATTACTGATATGCTGTGGTTAGACGTAGTCATTACTGGTACTGCTGTGGTTAGACTGTAGTCGTGGACGGGTACTGCTGTGGTTAGACTGTATTTCATTACTGGTACTGCTGTGGTTAGACTGTAGTCTTTACTGATACTGCTGTGGTTAGACTGTAGTCTTTAATGTACTGCTGCGGTTAGACTATAGTCATGACTGATACTGCTGCGGGTTAGACTGTAGTCATTACTGGTACTGCTGTGGTTAGACTGTAGTCCATTCTGATACTTGCTGTGGTTAGGACTGTAGTCATTACTGATACTGCTGTGGTTAGACTGTAGTCATTACTGATTACTGCTTTGGTTAGACTGTAGTCGTGACTGGTACTGCTGTGGTTAGACTGTAGTCGTGACTGGTACTGCTGTGGTTAGACTGTAGTCATTACTGATACTGCTGTGGTTAGACTGTAGTCATTACTGATACTGCTGTGGTTAGACTGTAGTCATTACTGATACTGCTGTGGTTAGACTGTAGTCATTACTAATACTGCTGTGGTTAGACTGTAGTCATTACTGATACTGCTGTGGTTAGACTGTAGTCATTACTGATAACTGCTGTGGTTAGACTGTAGTCATTACTGGTACTGGCTGTGGTTAGACTGTAGTCATGACTGGTACTGCTGTGGTTAGACTGTAGTCATTACTGGTACTGCTGTGGTTAGACTGTAGTCATTACTGATACTGCTGTGGTTAGACTGTAGTCATTACTGATACTGCTGTGGTTAGACTGTAGTCATTACTGATACTGCTGCGGTTAGACTGTAGTCATGACTGATACTGCTGTGGTTAGACTGTAGTCATTACTGATTACTGCTGTGGTTAGACTGTAGTCATTACTGATACTGCTGTGGTTAGACTGTAGTTCATTATGATACTGCGTGGTTAGACTGTAGTCATTACTGGTACTGCTGTGGTTAGACTGTAGTCATTACTGATACTGCTGTGGTTAGACTGTAGTCATTATGATACTGCTGTGGTTTAGGACTGTAGTCATTGACTGATACTGCTGTGGTTTAGACTGTAGTCTTACTGGTACTGCTGTGGTTAGACTGTAGTCATTAATGATACTGCTGTGGTTAGACTGTAGTCATTACTGGTACTGCTGTGTTAGACTTAGTCATTACTGATACTGCTGTGGTTAGGACTGTAGTCATTACTGATTACTGCTGTGGTTAGACTGTAGTCGTTGACTGGTTACTGCTGTGGTTAGACTGTAGTCTTATGAGTACTGCTGTGGTTAGACTGTAGTCATTACTGATACTGTGTGGTTAGACTGTAGTCATTACTGATACTGCTGTGGTTAGACTGTAGTCATTACTGTACTGCTGTGGTTAGACTGTAGTCATTACTGGATACTGCTGTGGTTAGACTGTAGTCATTACTGATACTGCTGTGGTTAGACTGTAGTCATTACTGATACTGCTGTGGTTAGACTGTAGTCATTACTGATACTGCTGTGGTTAGACTGCTAGTCATTACTGATACTGCTGTGGTTAGACTTGTAGTCATTACTGATACTGCTGTGGTTAGACTGTAGTCATTACTGATACTGCTGTGGTTAGACTGTAGTCGTTGGGAACCTGCTACTGCTGTGGTTAGACCTGGTAGTCATTACTGATACTGCTGTGGTTAGACTGTAGTCATTACTGATACTGCTGTGGTTAGACTGTAGTCATTACTGATACTGCTGTGGTTAGACTGTAGTCATTACTGGTACTGCTGTGGTTAGACTGTAGTCATTACTGATACTGCTGTGGTTAGACTGTAGTCATTACTGATACTGCTGTGGTTAGACTGTAGTCATTACTGGTACTGCTGTGGTTAGACTGTAGTCATTACTGGATACTGCTGTGGTTAGACTGTAGTCATTACTGATACTGCTGTGGTTAGACTGTAGTCATTACTGATACTGCTGTGGTTAGACTGTAGTCATTACTGATACTGCTGTGGTTAGACTGTAGTCATTACTGATACTGCTGTGGTTAGACTGTAGTCATTACTGATACTGCTGTGGTTAGACTGTAGTCATTACTGATACTGCTGTGGTTAGACTGTAGTCATTACTGATACTGCTGTGGTTAGACTGTAGTCATGACTGGTACTGCTGTGGTTAGACTGTAGTCATTACTGATACTGCTGTGGTTAGACTGTAGTCATTACTGATACTGCTGTGGTTAGACTGTAGTCATTACTGATACTGCTGTGGGTTAGACTGTAGTCATTACTGATACTGCTGTGGTTAGACTGTAGTCATTACTAATACTGCTGTGGTTAGACTGTAGTCATTACTGATACTGCTGTGGTTAGACTGTAGTCATTACTGATACTGCTGTGGTTAGACTGTAGTCATTACTGGTACTGCTGTGGTTAGACTGTAGTCGTGACTGGTACTGCTGTGGTTAGACTGTAGTCATGACTGATACTGCTGTGGTTAGACTGTAGTCATGACTGATACTGCTGTGGTTAGACTGTAGTCATTACTGATACTGCTGTGGTTAGACTGTAGTCATTACTGATACTGCTGTGGTTAGACTGTAGTCATTACTGGTACTGCTGTGGTTAGACTGTAGTCGTGACTGGTACTGCTGTGGTTAGACTGTAGTCATTACTGGTACTGCTGTGGTTAGACTGTAGTCATTACTGATACTGCTGTGGTTAGACTGTAGTCATTACTGATACTGCTGCGGTTAGACTGTAGTCATGACTGATACTGCTGCGGTTAGACTGTAGTCATTAATGTGTGTTAGACTGTAGTCATTACTGATACTGCTGTGGTTAGACTGTAGTCATTACTGATACTGCTGTGGTTAGACTGTAGTCATTACTGGATTACTGCTGTGGTTAGGACTGTAGTAGTGACTGGTACTGCTGTGGTTAGACTGTAGTCATTTACTGATACTGCTGTGGTTAGACTGTAGTCATTACTGATACTGCTGTGGTTAGACTGTAGTCATTACTGATACTGCTGCGGTTAGACTGTAGTCATGACTGATATTGCTGTGGTTAGACTGTAGTCATTACATATACTGCTGTGGTTAGACTGTAGTCATGACTGGTACTGCTGTGGTTAGACTGTAGTCATTACTGGTACTGCTGTGGTTAGACTGTAGTCATGACTGATACTGCTGCGGTTAGACTGTAGTCATTACATATACTGCTGTGGTTAGACTGTAGTCATGACTGGTACTGCTGTGGTTAGACTGTAGTCATTACTGGTACTGCTGTGGTTAGACTGTAGTCATTACTGGTACTGCTGTGGTTAGACTGTAGTCGTGACTGGTACTGCTGTGGTTAGACTGTAGTCATTACTGATACTGCTGTGGTTAGACTGTAGTCATTACTGATACTGCTGTGGTTAGACTGTAGTCATTACTGATATTGCTGTGGTTAGACTGTAGTTATTACCGGTACTGCTGTGGTTAGACTGTAGTCATTACTGATACTGCTGTGGTTAGACTGTAGTCATTACTGGTACTGCTGTGGTTAGACTGTAGTCGTGACTGGTACTGCTGTGGTTAGACTGTAGTCATTACTGATACTGCTGTGGTTAGACTGTAGTCATTACTGATACTGCTGTGGTTAGACTGTAGTCATGACTGATACTGCTGTGGTTAGACTGTAGTCATTACTGATACTGCTGTGGTTAGATTGTAGTCATTACTGATATTTATGTGGTTAGACTGTAGTCATTACTGATACTGCTGTGGTTAGACTGTAGTCATTACTGGTACTGCTGTGGTTAGACTGTAGTCGTGACTGGTACTGCTGTGGTTAGACTGTGTCATTAGGGTACTGTTTGTGGTTAGACTGTAGTCATTAGTGATACTGCTGTGGTTAGACGGTAGTCTTTACGGATACTGCTGCGGTTAGACTGTAGTCATGACTGATATGCTGGGGTTTAGACTGTAGTCATTACTGATACTGCTGGGGTTAGCTGTAGTCATTACTGTACTGCTGGGTTAGACTGTAGTCATTAGATACTGGTGTGGTTGATTAGTCATACTGTACTGTGTGTTAGACTGTAGTCGTGACTGGTACTGCTGTGTGTTAGACTGTAGTCATTACTGATATGCTTGGTTAGACTGTATCATTACTGATACTGCGTGGTTAGACTGTAGTCATTACTGATACTGCGTGGTTAGACTGTAGTATTACTGGTACTGCTGTGGTTAGACTGTAGTCGTGATGTTTACTGCGGGTGGTTAGACTGTAGTCATTACTGATACTGCTGGGGTTTGACGTAGTCATTACTGATACTGCTGTGGTTAGACGTGTCATTACTGATACTGCTGTGGTTGACTGTAGTCATTAGGGTACTGCTGTGGTTAGACTGTAGTCATTACTGATACTGCTGTGGTTAGATGTAGTCGTGACTGGTACTGCTGGTGGTTAGACTGTAGTCATTACTGATACTGCTGTGGTTAGACCTGTAGTCATTACGATACTGCTGTGGTTAGACTGTAGTACATTAGGATACTGCTGTGGTTAGACTGTAGTCATTACTGATACTGCTGTGGTTAGACTGTAGTCATGACTGATACTGCTGGGGTTAGACTGTAGTCATTACTGATATGCTTGTGGTTAGATTTGTAGTCATTACTGATACTGCTGTGGTTAGACTGTAGTCATTACTGATACTGCTGTGGTTAGACTGTAGTCATTACTGATACTGCTGTGGTTAGACTGTAGTCATTACTGATACTGCTGTGGTTAGACTGTAGTCATTACTGGTACTGCTGTGGTTAGACTGTAGTCATTACTGATACTGCTGTGGTTAGACTGTAGTCATTACTGATACTGCTGTGGTTAGACTGTAGTCATTAGGTACTGCTGTGGTTAGACTGTAGTCATTACTGATACGTGATACTAATTGTTTGCAGGTCCGTATCTGGGGTCGGAAGAAAGCTATAGCTGAAGGACATGGAGACTATGCTCTCAGTGTTACAGGACCAATGCTCAAGTTTTATGAAAGATACTACAATGCCAGCTACCCACTGTCCAAGTCAGGTAAGTTAGCTTTGCATTCAGATCTCAGGTCTAAGAGTGCATGGACACACAAGTAGGCCTCCACTAATAAGTATCCTCTGAAACTAAGTCTCTCAACAGATTGTTGTCTAAGTTCCAAATGGCCCCCTATTCCCTGTATAGCGCCCTATGGCTCTGGTCAAACGTAGTGCACTATGAAGGGAATAGGGGACCATTTAGGCCTCCTGTATTGTCTTTTCCCCTGTAGACCAGATAGCTCTGCCTGACTTCAATGCTGGAGCCATGGAGAACTGGGGTCTGATCACCTACAGAGAGACAGCCCTCCTGTACGATCCAGCCGTCTCCTCTGTTGGAAACAAGGAGAGAGTCACGACTGTGGTGGCTCACGAATTGGCTCATATGGTAGTGTTCTCTATGACATCACTATACTTCCTGTACAACATATGACATCACTGTACTGCCTGTCCAACCTATGACATCACTGTACTGCCTGTTCAACCTATGACATCACTATACTTCTGGTCCAACATATGACATCACTATACTTCTGGTCCAACCTATGACATCACTGTACTGCCTGTCTAACCTATGTCATCACTGTACTTCCTGTCCAACCTATGATATCCCTGTACTGCCTGTCCAACCTATGACATCGCTGTACTTCCTGTCCAACCTATGACATCCCTGTACTTCCTGTCCAACCTCTGACATTACTGTATCTACTGTCCAACCTCTGACATCACATCCTGCATGAAGAAACATTGCTTGGGAGGATGACTAAGGTTATGTCCACAACATGGGGGCCAGGTAGTGTAGTGGTTAGAGCACAGATAGAACAATGAAACAGGTATTTCACCGGATGTATAAATGTGAAGCATCCGCTTGGCTTTTCCACTCACTACCAAAGATGGTAGTGAGAGGAAGCCCAGTTGCTGGCAGTGGGAGAAGATGGAACAAGATGGATTTTGGCCAACATTCTGCTAATTTTCTCATCGATGAAACATTTGATCTCAATACAATTTTTTGTTCACAAAACTAAAATATGTTACGAACAGAGTGGACTAAGTTTTGTAGACTTTACCCTTTGCAAAAGTTTTAAAAAATGGCGTTGTTTAGAAGGAGTGCAAAGGCAAATTGAGCTATTGCACATGCACACTTCACAGAGTAGGCGTTCCCTAACGGAAATATGTGCATACATGCTAGAACGCACCAATAATATCTCGCTAGTTTGTGCTTGGCTCTGCCCACCTCCATGCTTGTTCTGCCCACTATGACTCATTTGTTCCCATTTAAAATGACGGGGTGTGGTCTATCCTGGTTTAGTTATAAAAAATATTTGGTTAGAGTGTTGGGCTAGTCCTGGCAGGTAGCCTAGCGATTAGAGCGTTGGGCTAGTAACTGGCAGGTAGTCTAGCAATTAGAGCGTTGGGCTAGTAACCAGCAGGTAGTCTAGCGATTAGAGTGTTGGGCCAGTAACCAGCAGGTAGTCTAGCGATTAGAGTGTTGGGCCAGTAATCAGCAGGTAGTCTAGTGGTTAGAGTGTTGGGCCAGTAATCAGCAGGTAGCCTAGTGGTTAGAGAGTTGGGCCAGTAACCAGCAGGTAGTCTAGTGGATAGAGTGTTGGGCTAGTAACTGGCAGGTAGCCTAGTGGTTAGAGTGTTGGGCTAGTAACTGGCAGGTAGTCTAGCGATTAGAGCGTTGGGCTGGTAACCAAAAGGTCTCTAGTTCCAATCCCCGAGCTGACAAGGTGAAAAATCTGTTGATATGCCCTTAAGCAAGGCACTTAACCCTAATTGCTCCAGGGTTGCTGTTGATAATGGCAGACCTTGGCCTTGACCACACTCTCAGGGGGAGTTGGGATATCAAATCAAATGTATTGGTCACGTGCCGAATACAATAGGTGTAGACTTTACAGTGAAATGCAAAAAACACATTTCCAATTCACACCTTCGTATTAACACACACTTGTATATGTGTGAAATAGGACCAATACAAGCCCCCACCTAATTATTAATATTGGTCAGAGCTGGCCAATAAGAATGCACTGCTTCATAAGGAATAGAGGGCCATTTTGTATGTGATTGTCCCCTGAGTGTGACACGTCCCTGTGTCCACAGTGGTTTGGGAACCTGGTGACTCTGAGATGGTGGAATGACCTGTGGCTGAACGAGGGCTTTGCCAGCTATGTGGAGTATCTAGGAGCTGACTATGCTGAACCCACGTGGAATATCGTAAGACTGATCACTCACACCCTTACAGGAGGATTACTCTGATCATATAGAGTGCAGTAAGACTGATCACCCTTACAGGAGGATTACTCTGATCAAATAGAGTGCAGTAAGACTGATCACACTTACAGGAGGATTACTCTGATCATATAGAGTGCAGTAAGACTGATCACCCTTACAGGAGGATTACTCAGATCATATAGAGTGCAGTAAGACTGATCACACTTACAGGAGGATTACTCTGATCATATAGAGTGCAGTAAGACTGATCACCCTTACAGGAGGATTACTCTGATCAAATAGAGTGCAGTAAGACTGATCACACTTACAGGAGGATTACTCTGATCATATAGAGTGCAGTAAGACTGATCACCCTTACAGGAGGATTACTCTGATCATATAGAGTGCAGTAAGACTGATCACACTTACAGGAGGATTACTCTGATCATATAGAGTGCAGTAAGACTGATCACCCTTACAGGAGGATTACTCTGATCATATAGAGTGCAGTAAGACTGATCACCCTTACAGGAGGATTACTCTGATCAAATAGAGTGCAGTAAGACTGATCACCCTTACAGGAGGATTACTCTGATCATATAGAGTGCAGTAAGACTGATCACCCTTACAGGAGGATTACTCTGATCATATAGAGTGCAGTAAGACTGATCACCCTTACAGGAGGATTACTCTGATCATATAGAGTGCAGTAAGACTGATCACCCTTACAGGAGGATTACTCAGATCATATAGAGTACAGTAAGACTGATCACCCTTACAGGAGGATTACTCTGATCATATAGAGTACAGTAAGACTGATCACCCTTACAGGAGGATTACTCAGATCATATAGAGTATAGTAAGACTGATCACCCTTACAGGAGGATTACTCTGATCATATAGAGTGCAGTAAGACTGATCACCCTTACAGGAGGATTACTCAGATCATATAGAGTACAGTAAGACTGATCACCCTTACAGGAGGATTACTCTGATCATATAGAGTGCAGTAAGACTGATCACCCTTACAGGAGGATTACTCAGATCATATAGAGTGCAGTAAGACTGATCACCCTTACAGGAGGATTACTCAGATCATATAGAGTACAGTAAGACTGATCACCCTTACAGGAGGATTACTCAGATCATATAGAGTGCAGTAAGACTGATCACCCTTACAGGAGGATTACTCTGATCATATAGAGTACAGTAAGACTGATCATCCTTACAGGAGGATTACTCTGATCATATAGAGTGCAGTAAGACTGATCACCCTTACAGGAGGATTACTCTGATCATATAGAGTGCAGTAAGACTGATCACACTTACAGGAGGATTACTCTGATCATATAGAGTGCAGTAAGACTGATCACCCTTACAGGAGGATTACTCTGATCATATAGAGTGCAGTAAGACTGATCACCCTTACAGGAGGATTACTCAGATCATATAGAGTACAGTAAGACTGATCACCCTTACAGGAGGATTACTCTGATCATATAGAGTACAGTAAGACTGATCACCCTTACAGGAGGATTACTCAGATCATATAGAGTATAGTAAGACTGATCACCCTTACAGGAGGATTACTCTGATCATATAGAGTGCAGTAAGACTGATCACCCTTACAGGAGGATTACTCAGATCATATAGAGTACAGTAAGACTGATCACCCTTACAGGAGGATTACTCTGATCATATAGAGTGCAGTAAGACTGATCACCCTTACAGGAGGATTACTCAGATCATATAGAGTACAGTAAGACTGATCACCCTTACAGGAGGATTACTCAGATCATATAGAGTACAGTAAGACTGATCACCCTTACAGGAGGATTACTCAGATCATATAGAGTGCAGTAAGACTGATCACCCTTACAGGAGGATTACTCTGATCATATAGAGTACAGTAAGACTGATCATCCTTACAGGAGGATTACTCTGATCATATAGAGTGCAGTAAGACTGATCACCCTTACAGGAGGATTACTCTGATCATATAGAGTGCAGTAAGACTGATCACACTTACAGGAGGATTACTCTGATCATATAGAGTGCAGTAAGACTGATCACCCTTACAGGAGGATTACTCTGATCATATAGAGTGCAGTAAGACTGATCACCCTTACAGGAGGATTACTCAGATCATATAGAGTACAGTAAGACTGATCACCCTTACAGGAGGATTACTCTGATCATATAGAGTACAGTAAGACTGATCACCCTTACAGGAGGATTACTCAGATCATATAGAGTATAGTAAGACTGATCACCCTTACAGGAGGATTACTCTGATCATATAGAGTGCAGTAAGACTGATCACCCTTACAGGAGGATTACTCAGATCATATAGAGTACAGTAAGACTGATCACCCTTACAGGAGGATTACTCTGATCATATAGAGTGCAGTAAGACTGATCACCCTTACAGGAGGATTACTCAGATCATATAGAGTACAGTAAGACTGATCACCCTTACAGGAGGATTACTCAGATCATATAGAGTACAGTAAGACTGATCACCCTTACAGGAGGATTACTCAGATCATATAGAGTGCAGTAAGACTGATCACCCTTACAGGAGGATTACTCTGATCATATAGAGTGCAGTAAGACTGATCATCCTTACAGGAGGATTACTCAGATCATATAGAGTGCAGTAAGACTGATCACCCTTACAGGAGGATTACTCAGATCATATAGAGTGCAGTAAGACTGATCACTCTCTCTCTCTCCCTAGAAAGAGCAGATAATCCTGTCTGATGTCCACAAGGTGTTTGCTGTGGACGCCCTGGCCTCGTCTCATCCTCTGTCCCGTAAAGAGGAGGAAGTCAACCGGCCTGCCGAGATCAGTGAGATGTTCAACACCATCTCCTACAGCAAGGTTCTCTATGTTCTAGACCATCTCCTACAGCAAAGTTCTCTATGTTCTAGACCATCTCCTACAGCAAAGTTCTCTATTGTTCTCAACATGTTATACCATCTCCTACATTAAGGTTCTCTATGTTCTAGACCATCTCCTACAGCAAGGTTCTCTATGTTCTAGACCATCTCCTACAGCAAGGTTCTCTATGTTCTAGACCATCTCCTACAGCAAGGTTCTCTATGTTCTAGACCATCTCCTACAGCAAAGTTCTATATTGTTCTCAACATGTTATACCATCTCCTACATTAAGGTTCTCTATGTTCTAGACCATCTCCTACAGCAAGGTTCTCTATGTTCTAGACCATCTCCTACAGCAAAGTTCTCTATGTTCTAGACCATCTCCTACAGCAAAGTTCTCCATGGTTCTCTATGTTTTAGACCTGAAGAAAGCATGCCTCCCACCCAGCAACTTATCAGTGCACCCTCCCACCCATCTATCCCTTGATTCACCCATTAGATTCCCCCCAATCCCCCCTCCCTCCCCCACAATGACCAGAGCCCCGTGGAGGAGTGAACGAGGGAGTTCTGGGCATATTCTGCCCAGGGAAGAAACCTCGCCCACTCACCCTGCCGGTCCTGACAGTAGCAACAAAGAAACCTCCCCAGCTCCTGGTTCATGCGCTCCACCTTCCTATTCGACTGAGGCCTATAGCCGGAAGTGAGGCTGGCCGTGGCCCCGATCTTCTCCAAGAAAGCCTTCCACACTCGGTAGGTGAATTGGGGGCCACGGTCCGAGACGATGTCCTCCGGAAGTCCATAATGCCGGAAGACCTGTTGGAACAGGACCTCAGCGACCTGGAGAGCAGAAGGAAGACCAGTTAGTGGCAAAAACCGGCATGATTTGGAGAACCGATCTACGACCACCATGACTGTGGTGAAGCAGTCAGAACGTGGGAGGTCAGTGACAAAGTCTATGGACAGGTGTGACCAAGGTCGCTGAGGCACTGGGAGAGGAACTAGTTTGCCTGCTGGGGTGTTCCGAGGTGTCTTCGTTTGGGCACATACGGAACAGGAGTTGATATAGCGGGAGACATCAGTAGCCAAGGTGGGCCACCAGTATTTTTGTGAGAGACTGCAGGGTGCGCGTCATACCAGAGTGCCCTGCCATAAGGGTGGTGTGCTCCCAGATCAGCAGGCAGTCACGGACCCTGGTGGGTACATACACGCGCCCCGGAGGGGCATTGGCAGGCGCTAGTTCCTACTGAGTCGCCAGGCAGATGTCTTCATCCACATCCCAAACGACAGGTGCAATGATGAGACGAGGGCAGGATAGGACCCCCCAGATCCTTCCTTTCTCCAGTATGGTGCATCCTGGAGAGTGCGTCGGCTTTCACATCCTGGGATCCTGGTCGGTAGGACAGAATAAACTGAAAGCGAGTAAGAAATTGGGCCCACCTGGCTTGACGAGAGTTCATCCGTTTTGCTGCCCGTATGTGCCCGGTGGTCAGTAAGAATCCGGAATGGATGGACTACGCCCTCCAGCCAGTGTCTCCATGCCTCCAGAGCGAGGACCACCGCCAACAGCTACCTGTCTCCAACTCCATAGTTCCTCTCTGCGGGGGTAAGCTTTTTAGAGGAACCAGAGGGAGGGGGTACCGGTACTTGGTGGTGACTGTGTTCAGCCCCCGGTAGTCAATGCATGGCCTCAGTCCTCTGTCTTTTTTGGCCACGAAGAAGAAGCTGGCGGAGGCAGGAGAGGTAGATCTGATGAACCCCTGTTTCAGGGTCTCCGCCACATACTTCTCCATGGCCTCCGCTATGGAGAGGGAGTAAATGCGACTCTTCGGAGGGTGTTGTCCCTCCAGCAGGTCAATGGCGCAGTCCCAGGTCCTGTGAGGAGGGAGACACATAGCCTTGGAGGCAGAGAGGACATCAGAGAGATCTGCGTACTCACGTGGAATGTTGGGCTGGAGGGCGGACTCCGGACTCTCCACTGACGTGGAACAACAAACCACCGGCAGGCAGGTTCTCCGACATGAGGTGGACCAGGCTGTGATCCTCTTGGTAATCCAATTGATGTTGGCGTTGTGTAGTCTGAGCCAGGGCAATCCCAAGACGATCCGGTGAAGGGGTGACGTGACGATATGGAAGGACAGCTCCTCGTGGTGCTCCGGTAGTGTGGGAATGGTGATGGTGATGGGGAGAGTGACGTGCGTAATGGTGCCTGATCCAATGGTGTATTGTCCAGCGAGGTGACGTGTAGCGGAGAAGGCAGTGGCACGGTGGGCAACCTCCATTCAGAGACCAGCTCCCTATCTATAAGGTTCCCCGCTGATCCGGAATCTATCATTGCCGTGGAAAGTGAAGAGAAGGAAGAACCATTCACCGAATTAAAAACAATGGTTTGGTGACAAGTGATGACGGAACACTCACGGAGCGGCGACGGGAGTCATACCGCCTAGATAGGGAGCCGCCAGGAGATCTGTGGTCCGTGGTGGTGTAGGGGGTGCTCCCCACCTCCATGGGTGAGGACTCGGAGGCAGGGCGGCTTCCATAGCTCTGATGGGGTGAGGACTCGGAGGCAGGGCGGCTTCCATAGCTCCAATGGGGTGAGGACTCGGAGGCAGGGCGGCTTCCATAGCTCCGATGGGGTGAGGACTCGGAGGCAGGGCGGCTTCCATAGCTCCGATGGGGTGAGGACTCGGAGGCAGGGCGGCTTCCATAGCTCCGATGGGGTGAGGACTCGGAGGCAGGGCGGCTTCCATAGCTCCGATGGGGTGAGGACTCGGAAGCAGGGCGGCTTCCATAGCTCCAATGGGGTGAGGACTCGGAGGCAGGGCGGCTTCCATAGCTCCGATGGGGTGAGGACTCGGAGGCAGGGCGGCTTCCATAGCTCCGATGGGGTGAGGACTCGGAGGCAGGGCGGCTTCCATAGCTCCGATGGGGTGAGGACTCGGAGGCAGGGCGGCTTCCATAGCTCCGATGGGGTGAGGACTCGGAAGCAGGGCGGCTTCCATAGCTCCGATGGGGTGAGGACTCGGAAGCAGGGCGGCTTCCATAGCTCCGATGGGGTGAGGACTCGGAGGCAGGGCGGCTTCCATAGCTCCGATGGGGTGAGGACTCGGAAGCAGGGCGGCTTCCATAGCTCCGATGGGGTGAGGACTCGGAGGCAGGGCGGCTTCCATAGCTCCGATGGGGTGAGGACTCGGAAGCAGGGCGGCTTCCATAGCTCCGATGGGGTGAGGACTCGGAGGCAGGGCGGCTTCCATAGCTCCGATGGGGTGAGGACTCGGAAGCAGGGCGGCTTCCATAGCTCCGATGGGGTGAGGACTCGGAGGCAGGGCGGCTTCCATAGCTCCGATGGGGTGAGGACTCGGAGGCAGGGCGGCTTCCATAGCTCCGATGGGGTGAGGACTCGGAGGCAGGGCGGCTTCCATAGCTCCGATGGGGTGAGGACTCGGAGGCAGGGCGGCTTCCATAGCTCCGATGGGGTGAGGACTCGGAGGCAGGGCGGCTTCCATAGCTCCGATGGGGTGAGGACTCGGAGGCAGGGCGGCTTCCATAGCCCAGATGGGGTGAGCGTCGAGGCTCCGGGAGGTGTTGGGAACGCTGTCGGTCTCTCAACATGTCGTCAAGATGAATGGATGTGGCGATGAGGGTATCAAGGTACATCTCGTCGTACCGACATGCGAGTTCCGTCGTGATGTCCTCCTGTAAGCCTCTCCTGAAGGCCGTGCGCAGAGCACGCTCATTCCAGCCGGAAGACGCCGCCACCGTGCGAAAACTCAGGGCGTACTCGCACGCGGCCCCCTCTCCCTGTTGTAGCCGGAGGAGACGCTCACCCCCGTCCTTTCCCTCCGTCGGATGATCGAACACAGCCCTGAACCGAGCAAGGAAGGTGGAGTAGGGAAGCGACGCGGCCTCACCTCCTTCCCAGACTGCCGTGGCCCAATCCAGCGCCTTATCCTTCAGTAGCGAAATCATCAGTGCTATCCTGGTTCAATGGGAGAGAGTAAGGTGGTTGCCATCTTAGAGTCAACCATTTTTTTGCAGCAGTGCTGCATGCCAGCATTAATCTTCTCTGATTGATTGAGAGATTGAAGGTGCTATCATCGTTAAGTAACATAATAGATGGAAAGCATTGAATATTTAAATTCATGCACTTATATATGAATTTTGTAACTTTGCTCCAGAAACATTAAACTGCAGGCCACTCCCACATCATATGAAGGAATGTGCCGATTTAGGGGACACAGTGAACAGTTGGGAGTTGGGGCCAATTTCATCGTAAAACATTATGTAAGGGGTCTGAATACTTATTTAAATGTGATATTTCAGTTATTTTTTTTAAATAAATGTGCAAGAATTTCTAAAAAAGTGTATTTGCTTTGTCATTATGGGGTATTGTGTGTAGATTGATGAGGGGAAAAAAACAATTTTAATCAATTTTAAAATAAGGCTTTAACCTGACAAAATGTGGAAAAAGTTAAGGGTGAATACTTTCAGAATACACTGTATCAGTGAAAACCACCTCTTCCAGGGCAATATGAGACACCATATCTCTTTCTACACTCAGCCAGGGGGCAGAATAATCATGTCTAATCCAATTTAGGATGGGGCGAAATGCTAGTGCCTGGAAATACAATTTAAAGTTTGGTACAGCTGTTCTCCTATGTGTGCGGGGTGGGATGCATGGTTTCTGGGTGGGGGAGGATTTGGATGGGGACTGACGGGGGGGGGGGGGGGGGGGGGGGGGGGGGGGGTTATTTTTATATGCATATATTTGATTGTGTTTGTACCTGTAACCACCCTCTGAAAAAGAAAAATGACATAACTGAATAAAAAGTTGGTCACAAAAAAGTAAAGACTTAGTCTGTCTTGGTTTATTTACAATCAGCTGTTCTTATAGAAACGGGTCTGTCTTGGTTTATTTACAATCAGAGCTGTTCTTATAGAAACGGGTCTGCCTTGGTTTATTTCCAATCAGCTGTTCTTATAGAAACGGGTCTGTCTTGGTTTATTTACAATCAGAGCTGTTCTTATAGAAACGGGTCTGCCTTGGTTTATTTCCAATCAGCTGTTCTTATAGAAACGGGTCTGTCTTGGTTTATTTACAATCAGCTGTTCTTATAGAAATGGGTCTGTCTTGGTTTATTTACAATCAGCTGTTCTTATAGAAACGGGTCTGGCTTGGTGTAGATTTACAATCAGCTGTTCTTATAGAAACGGGTCTGTCTTGGTTTATTTACAATCAGCTGTTCTTATAGAAACGGGTCTGTCTTGGTTTATTTACAATCAGCTGTTCTTATAGAAACGGGTCTGGCTTGGTTTATTTACAATCAGCTGTTCTTATAGAAACGGGTCTGGCTTGGTTTATTTGCAATCAGCTGTTCTTATAGAAACGGGAGAATCTTTGATTGATTAATTTGGGTTCTGATAGTAAATCCCCTGTTTCAGATTCAATAGTTGCTACATCAGTGATCAGTATTGTGTAGCTTGTTGGGCAGTAAAGGACTGGGACGATGACCATGGAAGTCTTACTCGATGGATGGCAGTTTCTGCTCTCTGTCCTATCAGTCAATTCAGTTCTGTCTTGACTTTGGAAAGAGTAATAGCTACCGGGTCTGAATAAAGTGTTTGTTGAGAACGTTCTAACACGGTTAACAAGATGTTCAACACCATCAGCAAGGTCTTCCTCTGTTCTAGACCACATACACAACAGAGACTGGTAGAGAGGGAGGTCTGAAGTATCTCCTTGTGGAACACAAGCTGGGAGCTCAGTGATGATGCCTTCTCTCTGGTGTAGTAGGAAATAGGTCCCAGAATATTTCCTGATCTAATTAGACAAAACTTTGGGCCCTTGTAATACAAAATTAAAATCCAATGTGAGTATGTTTTTTCTCTTTCTCAAATCCTGTACTCTTGTCCTCCAGGGAGCTGCAGTTCTGAGGATGCTTTCTGAGTTCCTAACAGAGCCTGTCTTCGCCAGAGGACTCAGTGTGAGTACAGTTACAGTATGTTAACAGTACAGTAATCAGAGCCTGTCTTAGTAACTACAGTACAGTAATCAGAGCCTGTCTTAGTAACTACAGTACAGTAATCAGAGCCTGTCTTAGTAACTACAGTACAGTAATCAGAGCCTGTCTTAGTGACTACAGTACAGTAATCAGAGCCTGTCTTAGTAACTACACTACAGTAATCAGAGCCTGTCTTAGTGACTACAGTACAGTAATCAGAGCCTGTCTTAGTAACTACAGTACAGTAATCAGAGCCTGTCTTAGTAACTACACTACAGTAATCAGAGCCTGTCTTAGTAACTACAGTACAGTAATCAGAGCCTGTCTTAGTAACTACAGTACAGTAATCAGAGCCTGTCTTAGTAACTACAGTACAGTAATCAGAGCCTGTCTTAGTAACTACAGTACAGTAATCAGAGCCTGTCTTAGTAACTACAGTACAGTAATCAGAGCCTGTCTTAGTAACTACAGTACAGTAATCAGAGCCTGTCTTAGTAACTACACTACAGTAATCAGAGCCTGTCTTAGTAACTACAGTACAGTAATCAGAGCCTGTCTTAGTAACTACAGTACAGTAATCAGAGCCTGTCTTAGTAACTACAGTACAGTAATCAGAGCCTGTCTTAGTAACTACAGTACAGTAATCAGAGCCTGTCTTAGTAACTACAGTACAGTAATCAGAGCCTGTCTTAGTAACTACAGTACAGTAATCAGAGCCTGTCTTAGTAACTACAGTACAGTAATCAGAGCCTGTCTTAGTAACTACAGTACAGTAATCAGAGCCTGTCTTAGTAACTACAGTACAGTAATCAGAGCCTGTCTTAGTAACTACAGTACAGTAATCAGAGCCTGTCTTAGTAACTACAGTACAGTAATCAGAGCCTGTCTTAGTAACTACAGTACAGTAATCAGAGCCTGTCTTAGTAACTACAGTACAGTAATCAGAGCCTGTCTTAGTGACTACAGTACAGTAATCAGAGCCTGTCTTAGTGAGTAACTACAGTACAGTAATCAGAGCCTGTCTTAGTAACTACAGTACAGTAATCAGAGCCTGTCTTAGTAACTACAGTACAGTAATCAGAGCCTGTCTTAGTAACTACAGTACAGTAATCAGAGCCTGTCTTAGTAACTACAGTACAGTAATCAGAGCCTGTCTTAGTAACTACAGTACAGTAATCAGAGCCTGTCTTAGTAACTACAGTACAGTAATCAGAGCCTGTCTTAGTGACTACAGTACAGTAATCAGAGCCTGTCTTAGTGAGTAACTACAGTACAGTAATCAGAGCCTGTCTTAGTAACTACAGTACAGTAATCAGAGCCTGTCTTAGTGACTACAGTACAGTAATCAGAGCCTGTCTTAGTAACTACAGTACAGTAATCAGAGCCTGTCTTAGTAACTACAGTACAGTAATCAGAGCCTGTCTTAGTAACTACAGTACAGTAATCAGAGCCTGTCTTAGTAACTACAGTACAGTAATTAGAGCCTGTCTTAGTAACTACAGTACAGTAATCAGAGCCTGTCTTAGTAACTACAGTACAGTAATCAGAGCCTGTCTTAGTAACTACAGTACAGTAATCAGAGCCTGTCTTAGTAACTACAGTACAGTAATCAGAGCCTGTCTTAGTAACTACAGTACAGTAATCAGAGCCTGTCTTAGTAACTACAGTACAGTAATCAGAGCCTGTCTTAGTAACTACAGTACAGTAATCAGAGCCTGTCTTAGTAACTACAGTACAGTAATCAGAGCCTGTCTTAGTAACTCTCTCTCTCTCTCTCTCTCTCTCTCTCTCTCTCTCTCTCTCTCTCTCTCACTCTCTCTCTCTCTGTAGTCGTACCTGAATGAGTTTGCCTTCAACAACACAGTGTATTCAGATCTCTGGGATCATCTTCAGAAAGTAAGTCCCATTTTCTACCATGGATAGAGTATGATAAATATACCTCTATACTATTTCTCTATTATTACATTTTCGATCTACAATTTACTTACTGCTAAAATGAATATTCAATATCATTGGGTAACGTGTGTGTGGAAAACCCCCTGTGGTTAAAATGCGTCTTGAAGGACCGTAGAGATGGGTCCACCTCTTACAGGGTGAAAACCCCCTGTGGTTAAAATGTGTCTTGAAGGACCGTGGAGATGGGTCCACCTCTTACAGGGTGAAAACCCCCTGTGGTTAAAATGTGTCTTGAAGGACCGTAGAGATGGGTCCACCTCTTACAGGGTGCCTGTAGTTAAAATGTGTCTTGAAGGACCGTAGAGATGGGTCCACCTCTTACAGGGTGCCTGTGGTTAAAATGTGTCTTGAAGGACCGTAGAGATGGGTCCACCTCTTACAGGGTGCCTGTGGTTAAAATGTGTCTTGAAGGACCGTAGAGATGGGTCCACCTCTTACAGGGTGAAAACCCCCTGTGGTTAAAATGTGTCTTGAAGGACCGTGGAGATGGGTCCACCTCTTACAGGGTGAAAACCCCCTGTGGTTAAAATGTGTCTTGAAGGACCGTAGAGATGGGTCCACCTCTTACAGGGTGCCTGTGGTTAAAATGCGTCTTGAAGGACCGTAGAGATGGGTCCACCTCTTACAGGGTGAAAAACCCCTGTGGTTAAAATGCGTCTTGAAGGACCGTAGAGATGGGTCCACCTTTTACAGGGTGCCTGTGGTTAAAATGTGTCTTGAAGGACCGTAGAGATGGGTCCACCTCTTACAGGGTGAAAACCCCCTGTGGTTAAAATGTGTCTTGAAGGACCGTAGAGATGGGTCCACCTCTTACAGGGTGCCTGTGGTTAAAATGTGTCTTGAAGGACCGTAGAGATGGGTCCACCTCTTACAGGGTGCCTGTGGTTAAAATGTGTCTTGAAGGACCGTAGAGATGGGTCCACCTCTTACAGGGTGAAAACCCCCTGTGGTTAAAATGTGTCTTGAAGGACCGTAGAGATGGGTCCCCCTCTTACAGGGTGCCTGTGGTTAAAATGTGTCTTGAAGGACCGTAGAGATGGGTCCACCTCTTACAGGGTGAAAACCCCCTGTGGTTAAAATGTGTCTTGAAGGACCGTAGAGATGGGTCCACCTCTTACAGGGTGAAAACCCCCTGTGGTTAAAATGTGTCTTGAAGGACCGTAGAGATGGGTCCACCTCTTACAGGGTGAAAACCCCCTGTGGTTAAAATGTGTCTTGAAGGACCGTAGAGATGGGTCCACCTCTTACAGGATGCCTGTGGTTAAAATGCGTCTTGAAGGACCGTAGAGATGGGTCCACCTCTTACAGGGTGCCTGTGGTTAAAATGTGTCTTGAAGGACCGTAGAGATGGGTCCACCTCTTACAGGATGCCTGTGGTTAAAATGTGTCTTGAAGGACCGTAGAGATGGGTCCACCTCTTACAGGGTGAAAACCCCCTGTGGTTAAAATGTGTCTTGAAGGACCGTAGAGATGGGTCCACCTCTTACAGGGTGAAAACCCCCTGTGGTTAAAATGTGTCTTGAAGGACCGTAGAGATGGGTCCACCTCTTACAGGATGCCTGTGGTTAAAATGTGTCTTGAAGGACCGTAGAGATGGGTCCACCTCTTACAGGGTGAAAACCCCCTGTGGTTAAAATGTGTCTTGAAGGACCGTAGAGATGGGTCCACCTCTTACAGGATGCCTGTGGTTAAAATGTGTCTTGAAGGACCGTAGAGATGGGTCCCCCTCTTACAGGGTGAAAACCCCCTGTGGTTAAAATGTGTCTTGAAGGACCGTAGAGATGGGTCCACCTCTTACAGGGTGAAAACCCCCTGTGGTTAAAATGTGTCTTGAAGGACCGTAGAGATGGGTCCACCTCTTACAGGGTGAAAACCCCCTGTGGTTAAAATGTGTCTTGAAGGACCGTAGAGATGGGTCCACCTCTTACAGGATGCCTGTGGTTAAAATGCGTCTTGAAGGACCGTAGAGATGGGTCCACCTCTTACAGGATGCCTGTGGTTAAAATGCGTCTTGAAGGACCGTAGAGATGGGTCCACCTCTTACAGGGTGAAAACCCCCTGTGGTTAAAATGTGTCTTGAAGGACCGTAGAGATGGGTCCACCTCTTACAGGATGCCTGTGGTTAAAATGCGTCTTGAAGGACCGTAGAGATGGGTCCACCTCTTACAGGATGCCTGTGGTTAAAATGCGTCTTGAAGGACCGTAGAGATGGGTCCACCTCTTACAGGGTGCCTGTGGTTAAAATGTGTCTTGAAGGACCGTAGAGATGGGTCCACCTCTTACAGGGTGAAAACCCCCTGTGGTTAAAATGTGTCTTGAAGGACCGTAGAGATGGGTCCACCTCTTACAGGGTGAAAACCCCCTGTGGTTAAAATGTGTCTTGAAGGACCGTAGAGATGGGTCCACCTCTTACAGGGTGAAAACCCCCTGTGGTTAAAATGTGTCTTGAAGGACCGTAGAGATGGGTCCACCTCTTACAGGGTGAAAACCCCCTGTGGTTAAAATGTGTCTTGAAGGACCGTAGAGATGGGTCCACCTCTTACAGGGTGCCTGTGGTTAAAATGTGTCTTGAAGGACCGTAGAGATGGGTCCACCTCTTACAGGGTGCCTGTGGTTAAAATGTGTCTTGAAGGACCGTAGAGATGGGTCCACCTCTTACAGGATGCCTGTGGTTAAAATGCGTCTTGAAGGACCGTAGAGATGGGTCCACCTCTTACAGGATGCCTGTGGTTAAAATGCGTCTTGAAGGACCGTAGAGATGGGTCCACCTCTTACAGGGTGAAAACCCCCTGTGGTTAAAATGTGTCTTGAAGGACCGTAGAGATGGGTCCACCTCTTACAGGATGCCTGTGGTTAAAATGCGTCTTGAAGGACCGTAGAGATGGGTCCACCTCTTACAGGATGCCTGTGGTTAAAATGCGTCTTGAAGGACCGTAGAGATGGGTCCACCTCTTACAGGGTGCCTGTGGTTAAAATGTGTCTTGAAGGACCGTAGAGATGGGTCCACCTCTTACAGGGTGCCTTTGGACTCTCTATCATTGTGTGTGTTAAGGTGTTATGTGTTTAATCCTCTGACAGGCTGTCATCACCACTCCAGGGATGAGTCTACCTCACACAGTGCATGACATCATGAACCGCTGGATCCTTCAGATGGGCTTCCCAGTGGTTACCATAGATACGGCCACGGGACACATTACCCAGAAGCACTTCCTCCTGGACCCTGACTCTGTAGTGGACAGACCCTCTCCATACAAGTTACTATTCTTCTTGATCTCAGTTCTGTGATGCTGTTTTACCGTAGACCAGGGTGGCAGGTAGCCTAGTGGTTAGTACTGCCTGGGGTTAAGGAAGGGTTAGTACAGCCTGGGGTTAAGGAAGGGTTAGTACAGCCTGGGGTTAAGGAAGGGTTAGTACAGCCTGGGGTTAAGGAAGGGTTAGTACAGCCTGGGGTTAAGGAAGGGTTAGTACAGCCTGGGGTGAGGGAAGGGTTAGTACAGCCTGGGGTTAAGGAAGGGTTAGTACAGCCTGGGGTTAAGGAAGGGTTAGTACAGCCTGGGGTTAAGGAAGGGTTAGTACAGCCTGGGGTGAGGGAAGGGTTAGTACAGCCTGGGGTTAAGGAAGGGTTAGTACAGCCTGGGGTTAAGGAAGGGTTAGTACAGCCTGGGGTTAAGGAAGGGTTAGTACAGCCTGGGGTTAAGGAAGGGTTAGTACAGCCTGGGGTTAAGGAAGGGTTAGTACAGCCTGGGGTGAGGGAAGGGTTAGTACAGCCTGGGGTTAAGGAAGGGTTAGTACAGCCTGGGGTTAAGGAAGGGTTAGTACAGCCTGGGGTTAAGGAAGGGTTAGTACAGCCTGGGGTTAAGGAAGGGTTAGTACAGCCTGGGGTTAAGGAAGGGTTAGTACAGCCTGGGGTTAAGGAAGGGTTAGTACAGCCTGGGGTTAAGGAAGGGTTAGGACAGCCTGGGGTTAAGGAAGGGTTAGTATAGCCTGGGGTGAGGGAATGGTTAGTACAGCCTGGGGTTAAGGAAGGGTTAGTACAGCCTGGGGTTAAGGAAGGGTTAGTACAGCCTTGGGTTAAGGAAGGGTTAGTACAGCCTGGGGTTACGGAAGGGTTAATATAGCCTGGGTGTCCAACAATAAGGTCATGATGATAAACCCCAAAATAATGTTGAATTCAGTCACCTGACCATCCTGTTCTATGCTTGTTTAGTTACACCTGGTTGGTCCCCATCAAATGGATGAAGGGAGGAGTGGAGAGAGAGCAACACTGGCTTCTTCAGAAAACAGGTACTTCTAATGAAGACCTGCATGGGTGTCAGTGGAAGATGGACCTGGACTATTGAATAGGTCCAGGTCCATATCATGTTATTGTACATCAGTACAGTGTGGTCTGTGTTCAATCCTAACCTGAGACCAGTGTTGCAAAATTCTGGTAACTTTCTTAAAAATCCCCTGTTTTCCAGAAATCCTGGTTGGAAGATTCATGGAATTTCTAGGGAATAACCAGGAAATCCAGGAATCCTCTAACCAGGATTTTCTGGAAAACCAGTGAATTTAGTGAAAGCTGGCGGAATGTTGCAAGCCTAGCTGAGGCCAGTGTGTTTTGGTTCTCCCCCAGACAGACACCTCCCCATGAGAACAGCAGGATCTGACTGGCTTCTGGCCAACCTCAACGTGTCTGGCTACTACAGGGTTAACTACGACATGGACAACTGGGAACGCCTCCTCAACCAGCTCACCACAGACCACACAGTCAGCAGATGTTATTATTCCACTGTTATTGTGGATATTACCTATCACAATACGATTCCATATGACGCAACATAACATCACAACTTCTGTGTGCAGGTCATACCTTTAATCAACAGAGCTCAGATAGTGGACGATGCCTTCAATCTGGCCAGGTAAAGCTCTTTCTAAGTTGAGCTAATGTCCCACACGTTCTGTATTTCCTGGGTGAACTTTGTGGAAGCTGGAAGCTGATGTAGTTGAGCTGGCATGATGTAGTTGAGCTGGCATGATGTAGTTGAGTTGGCATGATGTAGTTGAGCTGTGTGTCATGATGTAGTTGAGCTGTGTGGCATGATGTAGTTGAGCTGGCATGATGTAGTTGAGCTGTGTGACATGATGTAGTTGATCTGGCATGATGTAGTTGAGCTGTGTGGCATGATGTAGTTGAGCTGGCATGATGTAGTTGAGCTGTGTGTCATGATGTAGTTGAGCTGTGTGGCATGATGTAGTTGAGCTGTGTGACATGATGTAGTTGAGCTGGCATGATGTAGTTGAGTTGGCATGATGTAGTTGAGCTGGCTTGATGTAGTTGAGCTGGCATGATGTAGTTGAGCTGGCATGATGTAGTTGAGCTGTGTGACATGATGTAGTTGAGCTGTGTGGCATGATGTAGTTGAGCTGGCATGATGTAGTTGAGCTGTGTGACATGATGTAGTTGAGCTGGCATGATGTAGTTGAGCTGTGTGGCATGATGTAGTTGAGCTGTGTGGCATGATGTAGTTGAGCTGGCATGATGTAGTTGAGCGGCATGATGTAGTTGAGCTGTGTGGCATGATGTAGTTGAGCTGGCATGATGTAGTTGAGCTGGCATGATGTAGTTGAGCTGTGTGACATGATGTAGTTGAGCTGTGTGACATGATGTAGTTGAGCTGTGTGGCATGATGTAGTTGAGCTGTGTGGCATGATGTAGTTGAGCTGGCATGATGTAGTTGAGCTGTGTGGCATGATGTAGTTGAGCTGTGTGACATGATGTAGTTGAGCTGTGTGGCATGATGTAGTTGAGCTGTGTGGCATGATGTAGTTGAGCTGTGTGACATGATGTAGTTGAGCTGTGTGACATGATGTAGTTGAGCTGTGTGGCATGATGTAGTTGAGCTGTGTGGCATGATGTAGTTGAGCTGGCATGATGTAGTTGAGCTGTGTGGCATGATGTAGTTGAGCTGTGTGGCATGATGTAGTTGAGCTGGCATGATGTAGTTGAGCTGTGTGGCATGATGTAGTTGAGCTGTGTGGCATGATGTAGTTGAGCTGTGTGGCATGATGTAGTTGAGCTGTGTGGCATGATGTAGTTGAGCTGTGTGACATGATGTAGTTGAGCTGTGTGGCATGATGTAGTTGAGCTGGCATGATGTAGTTGAGCTGTGTGACATGATGTAGTTGAGCTGTGTGACATGATGTAGTTGAGCTGTGTGGCATGATGTAGTTGAGCTGTGTGACATGATGTAGTTGAGCTGTGTGACATGATGTAGTTGAGCTGTGTGGCATGATGTAGTTGAGCTGTGTGACATGATGTAGTTGAGCTGGCATGATGTAGTTGAGCTGTGTGACATGATGTAGTTGAGCTGGCATGATGTAGTTGAGCTGTGTGGCATGATGTAGTTGAGCTGGCATGATGTAGTTGAGCTGTGTGGCATGATGTAGTTGAGCTGGCATGATGTAGTTGAGTTGGCATGATGTAGTTGAGCTGGCATGATGTAGTTGAGCTGTGTGGCATGATGTAGTTGAGCTGTGTGACATGATGTAATTGAGCTGTGTGGCTTGATGTAGTTGAGCTGTGTGGCATGATGTAGTTGAGCTGTGTGACATGATGTAGTTGAGCTGGCATGATGTAGTTGAGCTGGCATGATGTAGTTGAGCTGGCATGATGTAGTTGAGCTGTGTGACATGATGTAGTTGAGCTGTGTGACATGATGTAGTTGAGCTGTGTGACATGATGTAGTTGAGCTGTGTGACATGATGTAGTTGAGCTGGCATGATGTAGTTGAGCTGGCATGATGTAGTTGAGCTGTGTGACATGATGTAGTTGAGCTGTGTGACATGATGTAGTTGAGCTGTGTGACATGATGTAGTTGAGCTGTGTGGCATGATGTAGTTGAGCTGTGTGGCATGATGTAGTTGAGCTGGCATGATGTAGTTGAGCTGTGTGGCATGATGTAGTTGAGCTGTGTGGCATGATGTAGTTGAGCTGTGTGGCATGATGTAGTTGAGCTGTGTGACATGATGTAGTTGAGCTGGCATGATGTAGTTGAGCTGTGTGGCATGATGTAGTTGAGCTGTGTGACATGATGTAGTTGTGATGTCATGTTGTGTGTTTCCAGGGCCAAGGTGATCAACACCACATTAGCTCTGAGGACCACCAGGTAACTAGAATAATATATTCTACTATACAGATTATAATATATTCTACTATACAGATTATAATATATTCTACTATACAGATTATAATATATTCTACTATACAGATTATAATATATTCTACTATACAGATTATAATATATTCTACTATACAGATTATAATATATTCTACTATACAGATTATATGTTACCAAGTACCTTTCTCAGGAGAGAGACTACATCCCCTGGTAGTCAGCTCTTATATTATATATGATATATTACCAGGTACCTGTCTCAGGAGAGAGACTACATCCCCTGGGAGTCAGCACTCAGGAATCTCAACTACTACATCCTCATGTTCGACCGTGGACAGGCATACGGGGTGCTACAGGTGGGTTCTTATTATAATATAATATATCAGGCATACGGGGTGCTACAGGTGGGTTCTTATTATAATATAATATATCAGGCATACAGGGTGCTACAGGTGGGTTCTTATTATAATATAATATATCAGGCATACGGGGTGCTACAGGTGGGTTCTTATTATAATATAATATATCAGGCATACAGGGTGCTACAGGTGGGTTCTTATTATAATATAATATATCAGGCATACGGGGTGCTACAGGTGGGTTCTTATTATAATATAATATATCAGGCATACGGGGTGCTACAGGTGGGTTCTTACTATAATATAATATATCAGGCATACGGGGTGCTACAGGTGGGTTCTTATTATAATATAATATATCAGGCATACGGGGTGCTACAGGTGGGTTCTTATTATAATATAATATATCAGGCATACGGGGTGCTACAGGTGGGTTCTTATTATAATATAATATATCAGGCATACGGGGTGCTACAGGTGGGTTCTTATTATAATATAATATATCAGGCATCCGGGGTGCTACAGGTGGGTTCTTATTATAATATAATATATCAGGCATCCGGGGTGCTACAGGTGGGTTCTTATTATAATATAATATATCAGGCATACGGGGTGCTACAGGTGGGTTCTTATTATAATATAATATATCAGGCATCCGGGGTGCTACAGGTGGGTTCTTATTATAATATAATATATCAGGCATCCGGGGTGCTACAGGTGGGTTCTTATTATAATATAATATATCAGGCATACGGGGTGCTACAGGTGGGTTCTTATTATAATATAATATATCAGGCATACGGGGTGCTACAGGTGGGTTCTTATTATAATATAATATATCAGGCATACGGGGTGCTACAGGTGGGTTCTTATTATAATATAATATATCAGGCATACGGGGTGCTACAGGTGGGTTCTTATTATAATATAATATATCAGGCATCCGGGGTGCTACAGGTGGGTTCTTATTATAATATAATATATCAGGCATACAGGGTGCTACAGGTGGGTTCTTATTATAATATAATATATCAGGCATCCGGGGTGCTACAGGTGGGTTCTTATTATAATATAATATATCAGGCATACGGGGTGCTACAGGTGGGTTCTTATTATAATATAATATATCAGGCATACGGGGTGCTACAGGTGGGTTCTTATTATAATATAATATATCAGGCATCCGGGGTGCTACAGGTGGGTTCTTACTATAATATAATATATCAGGCATACGGGGTGCTACAGGTGGGTTCTTATTATAATATATCAGGCATACGGGGTGCTACAGGTGGGTTCTTACTATAATATAATATATCATATATTGTGTCTGTTATATAACATACTGTACTGGGATCTGTTTGTCTCTTAGGCTTACCTGAAGATGAAGATCACCCCCCTGTTTGAGCACTTCAGGACGATCACGGATGATTGGACCAGAGTCCCCACCGGACACAACGACCAGTAACAACACTGCTTTTCAAATGAAATGTTATTTTAAACCAATTAAGATACATCATTTTATTTCTAAATATATATTTATGTTGCTTTTCTTACAACAGTATATAAACTTTATTGGTCTGTTTTCAAAAGTAGTGCACTACATAGGGAATAGTGTGCTATTTAGGATGAACTAGATATGATCATAATGTGTTGTGGGCCATTCCACAGCCCTGTCCCTCTTGTCCCCTATCTCTCAGGTACAACCAGATCAACGCCATATCCTTTGCTTGCCGCATGGGAGTGGAGCGCTGCAGGGCTCTCACCAGCGCCTGGTTCAGAGAGTGGATGCTGAACCCAGACCACAACCCGTGAGTACGAAGCACAATTATTTGGGTTGCAAAATTCCGGGAATTTTCCCAAAATTCCTCGGTTTTCCAGAAATCCCAGTTGGAAGATTCCTGGTATCAGGAGGGAACAAGCAGGAAAACCGGGAATCCTTCAACGGGGAAATGAATACCAGAAGTTTGCGACCCTAAGAATGATGTATATAGTTAAGGTGATTGTTTTCCTTCTCTTATTGATGCTAACTTTGTGTTTATTGAACTCTTTATTGACAGGATTCACCCCAACCTGAAGACGACAGTGTACTGTAACGCTATCGCAGCAGGAGGGGTGGAGGAATGGGACTTCGCCTGGAGGATGTTCAAGAACGCCACAGTAGCCACAGAGGCTGCCAAGCTGAGGTCAGCCCTGGCCTGCACTAAGGTCCCCTGGCTGCTGAACAGGTAGCTAACCCTGGCCTGCACTAAGGTCCCCTGGCTGCTGAACAGGTAGCTAACCCTGGCCTGCACTAAGGTCCCCTGGCTGCTGAACAGGTAGCTAACCCTGGCCTGCACTAAGGTCCCCTGGCTGCTGAACAGGTAGCTAACCCTGGCCTGCACTAAGGTCCCCTGGCTGCTGAACAGGGAGCTAACCCTGGCCTGCACTAAGGTCCCCTGGCTGCTGAACAGGTAGCTAACCCTGGCCTGCACTAAGGTCCCCTGGCTGCTGAACAGGTAGGCACAATCTGATCCTCAACAGGAGCTAACCCTGGCCTGCACTAAGGTCCCCTGGCTGCTGAACAGGTAGCTAACCCTGGCCTGCACTAAGGTCCCCTGGCTGCTGAACAGGGAGCTAACCCTGGCCTGCACTAAGGTCCCCTGGCTGCTGAACAGGGAGCTAACCCTGGCCTGTACTAAGGTCCCCTGGCTGCTGAACAGGGAGCTAACCCTGGCCTGCACTAAGGTCCCCTGGCTGCTGAACAGGTAGCTAACCCTGGCCTGCACTAAGGTCCCCTGGCTGCTGAACAGGGAGCTAACCCTGGCCTGCACTAAGGTCCCCTGGCTGCTGAACAGGTAGCTAACCCTGGCCTGCACTAAGGTCCCCTGGCTGCTGAACAGGGAGCTAACCCTGGCCTGCACTAAGGTCCCCTGGCTGCTGAACAGGGAGCTAACCCTGGCCTGCACTAAGGTCCCCTGGCTGCTGAACAGGTAGCTAACCCTGGCCTGCACTAAGGTCCCCTGGCTGCTGAACAGGTAGCTAACCCTGGCCTGCACTAAGGTCCCCTGGCTGCTGAACAGGTAGCTAACCCTGGCCTGCACTAAGGTCCCCTGGCTGCTGAACAGGGAGCTAACCCTGGCCTGTACTAAGGTCCCCTGGCTGCTGAACAGGTAGCTAACCCTGGCCTGCACTAAGGTCCCCTGGCTGCTGAACAGGTAGCTAACCCTGGCCTGCACTAAGGTCCCCTGGCTGCTGAACAGGTAGCTAACCCTGGCCTGCACTAAGGTCCCCTGGCTGCTGAACAGGTAGCTAACCCTGGCCTGCACTAAGGTCCCCTGGCTGCTGAACAGGTAGGCACAATCTGATCCTCAACAGGAGCTAACACACAGAATCAGTTCATCTTGTGGTTTGTTGAAGAAAAGGACTGGTTTATCATCACTTAAGTTGGAGTGATGATAGACCTTTATCCTGTTAAACTCTGAACGCTTGTTTTGGACCTGGCACCGGGTCCCCCAAATTATTTTTTCTTGTCTGAAAATAGAAAGCTACAGCCCTTGTCTTTTTGGAAATCGGACTAAAATCTTACTGCTTACACTGCTAGGGTCATTTCAGATGTCAAGGTGATTGCTAGGGTCATTTCAGATGTCAGGCTGATTGCTAGGGTCATTTCCAGATGTCAGGCTGATTGTTAGGGTCATTTCCAGATGTCAGGCTGATTGCTAGGGTCATTTCCAGATGTCAGGCTGATTGTTAGGGTCATTTCCAGATGTCAGGCTGATTGCTAGGGTCATTTCCAGATGTCAGGCTGATTGTTAGGGTCATTTCCAGATGTCAGGCTGATTGTTAGGGTCATTTCCAGATGTCAGGCTGATTGCTAGGGTCATTTCCAGATGTCAGGCTGATTGCTAGGGTCATTTCCAGATGTCAGGCTGATTGTTAGGGTCATTGTTAGGGTCATTTCCAGATGTCAGGCTGATTGTTAGGGTCATTTCCAGATGTCAGGCTGATTGCTAGGGTCATTTCCAGATGTCAGGCTGATTGCTAGGGTCATTTCCAGATGTCAGGCTGATTGCTAGGGTCATTTCCAGATGTCAGGCTGATTGTTAGGGTCATTGTTAGGGTCATTTCCAGATGTCAGGCTGATTGTTAGGGTCATTTCCAGATGTCAGGCTGATTGCTAGGGTCATTTCCAGATGTCAGGCTGATTGCTAGGGTCATTTCCAGATGTCAGGCTGATTGCTAGGGTCATTTCCAGATGTCAGGCTGATTGTTAGGGTCATTGTTAGGGTCATTTCCAGATGTCAGGCTGATTGTTAGGGTCATTTCCAGATGTCAGGCTGATTGTTAGGGTCATTGTTAGGGTCATTTCCAGATGTCAGGCTGATTGCTAGGGTCATTTCCAGATGTCAGGCTGATTGTTAGGGTCATTTCCAGATGTCAGGCTGATTGCTAGGGTCATTTCCAGATGTCAGGCTGATTGCTAGGGTCATTTCCAGATGTCAGGCTGATTGTTAGGGTCATTTCCAGATGTCAGGCTGATTGCTAGGGTCATTTCCAGATGTCAGGCTGATTGCTAGGGTCATTTTAAGATGTCAGGCTGATTGTGCCATTTTGGCACAGTTACTCACTCACTTCCCAAAACAGATGCAACTGGTTTCAAGTGGCCAAGACACGTCATGTGATCTCCTACTGCAATCTAGTGGACAAATTGTGAATCAGGCAGGGGATATATTTACACCAATGGATAGATAGAGGCTTCAGCTTTCTCCTCATATGTGCCTTCAGAAAGTATTCAGACCCCTTGACTTATTCCACATTTTGTTGTTACAGCCAGAATTCAAAATGGATTAAATAATTTGTTTCTCACCCATGTACGACTGGCGGCAGGTAGCTTAGTGGTTAAGAGCATTGTGCCAGTAACCGAAAGGTCGCTGGTTCTAATCCCCGAGCCGACTAGGTGAAAAATCTGTCGATGTGCCCTTGAGCAAGGCACTTAACCCTAATTGCTCCTGTAAGTCGCTCTGGATAAGAGCGTCTGCTAAATGACTAAAATGTAAATGTACACACAATACCCCATAATGACAAAGTGAAAACATGTTTTTAGAAATGTTTGCACATTTATTGAAAATGAAATACAGAAATATCTAATTTACATAAGTATTCACACCCCTGAGTCAATACATGCTAGAATCACCTTTGGCAGTGATTACAGCTGTGTGTCTTTCTGGGTAAGTCTCTAAGAGCTTTCCACACCTGGATTGTGCAATATTTGCCCGTTATTCTTTTCAAAATTCTTCAAGCTCTGTCAAATTGGTTGTTGATCATTGCTAGACAGCCATTTTCAGGTCTTGCCATAGATTTTCAAGTAGATTTAAGTCTAAAACTCGGCCACTCAGGAACATTCACTGTCTTCTTGGTAAGCAACCCCAGTGTGTATTTGGCCTTGAATTCATTTCCCAGTATCTGTTGGAAAGCAGACTGAACCAGATTTTCCTCTAGGAATTTTCCTGTGTTTAGCTCCATTCCGTTTCTTTTTTATCCTGAAAAACTCCCCAGTCCTTAACGATAACAACCAATACCCATAACACGATGCAGCCACCACTATGCTTTAAAATATGGAGAGTTGTACTCAGTAATGTGTTGTGTTGGAGTTGCCCCAAACATAATACTTTGTATTCAGGACAAAAAGTGAATTGCTTTGCCACATTTTTTGCAGTATTACTTTAATGCCTTGTTGAAAACAGGATGCAGGTTTTGGAATATTTTTATTCTGTACAGGCTTCCTTCTTTTCACTCTGTCAATTAGGTTAGTATTGTGGAGAAACTACAATGTTGTTGATCCATCCTCCGTTTTCTCCTATCACAGCCATTAAACTCTGTAACTGTTTTAAAGTCACAATTGGCCTCATGATGAAATCCCTCAGTGGTTTCCTTCCTCTCTGGCAATTGAGTTAGGAAGGACGCCTATATCTATGTAACGACTAGGTGTATTGATACACCATCCAAAGTGTAATTAATAACATCAAGGGATATTCAATGTCTTTTTTTCTTTTTTTTTTCCATCTACCAATCGGTGCCCTTCTTTGTGAGGCATTGGAAAACCTCCCTGGTCTTTATGGTTGAATCTGTGTTTGAAATTCACTGCTCGACTGAGGGACCTTACAGATAATTGTATGTGTGGGGTACAGAGATGAGGTAGTCATTCAAAAATCATGTTAAATGCTATTATTGCACACAGAGTGAGTCCATGCAACTTATTATGTGACTAGTTAAGCTAATTCTTACTCCTGAACTTATTTAGGCTTACCATAACAAAGGGGTTGAATACTTATTGACTCAAGACATTTCAGCTTTTCATTTGTAATTAATTGTGAAAAATTTTGAAAAACATAATTCAACTTTGACATTATGGGATATTGTGTGTAGGCCAGTGTAATCAACTTTAAATTCAGTCTGTAACACAACAAAATGTGGAAAAAGTCAAGGGGTGTGAATACTTTCTGAAGGCGCTGTATATCATTCCTGTATGTGAACAATTATTCCTGTAAAATGAAAAATTACATTGCACAAGCCCTGCGCTTTTAAAATGGCCGTGTTGCTATGGGAATTAGGGCATGTTTAGAGCACCATGATTAGGTAAAAGATCTGATTTAGGTCAAATCCCAAATCCCTTTTTTTTTGTTGATACTACAGGTATCTGGATTATTCCCTGGATCCAGCTAAGATCCGTAAGCAGGACAGCACCTCCACCATCGGCTACATCGCTGGGAACGTGGTGGGGACGCCCCTGGCCTGGGACTTCATCAGGGCTCGGTGGAACTACATCTATACAGAGTAAGTCTTCAGGGCTCGGTGGAACTACATCTATACAGAGTAAGTCTTCAGGGCTCGGTGGAACTACATCTATACAGAGTAAGTCTTCAGGGCCCGGTGGAACTACATCTATACAGAGTAAGTCTTCAGGGCTCGGTGGAACTACATCTATACAGAGTAAGTCTTCAGGGCTCGGTGGAACTACATCTACACAGAGTAAGTCTTCAGGGCTCGGTGGAACTACATCTACACAGAGTAAGTCATCAGGGCTCGGTGGAACTACATCTATACAGAGTAAGTCTTCAGGGCTCGGTGGAACTACATCTATACAGAGTAAGTCTTCAGGGCTCGGTGGAACTACATCTATACAGAGTAAGTCTTCAGGGCTCGGTGGAACTACATCTATACAGAGTAAGTCATCAGGGCTCGGTGGAACTACATCTACACAGAGTAAGTCTTCAGGGCTCGGTGGAACTACATCTATACAGAGTAAGTCTTCAGGGCTCGGTGGAACTACATCTATACAGAGTAAGTCTTCAGGGCTCGGTGGAACTACATCTATACAGAGTAAGTCTTCAGGGCTCGGTGGAACTACATCTATACAGAGTAAGTCTTCAGGGCCCGGTGGAACTACATCTATACAGAGTAAGTCTTCAGGGCTCGGTGGAACTACATCTATACAGAGTAAGTCTTCAGGGCTCGGTGGAACTACATCTACACAGAGTAAGTCTTCAGGGCTCGGTGGAACTACATCTACACAGAGTAAGTCATCAGGGCTCGGTGGAACTACATCTATACAGAGTAAGTCTTCAGGGCTCGGTGGAACTACATCTATACAGAGTAAGTCTTCAGGGCTCGGTGGAACTACATCTATACAGAGTAAGTCTTCAGGGCTCGGTGGAACTACATCTATACAGAGTAAGTCATCAGGGCTCGGTGGAACTACATCTACACAGAGTAAGTCTTCAGGGCTCGGTGGAACTACATCTATACAGAGTAAGTCTTCAGGGCTCGGTGGAACTACATCTATACAGAGTAAGTCTTCAGGGCTCGGTGGAACTACATCTATACAGAGTAAGTCTTCAGGGCTCGGTGGAACTACATCTATACAGAGTAAGTCTTCAGGGCTCGGTGGAACTACATCTATACAGAGTAAGTCTTCAGGGCTCGGTGGAACTACATCTATACAGAGTAAGTCTTCAGGGCTCGGTGGAACTACATCTATACAGAGTAAGTCTTCAGGGCTCGGTGGAACTAGAGTTGAAGTCGGAAGTTTACATACACTTAGGAGTCATTAAAAATCGTTTTTCAACCATTCCACAAATTTCTTGTTAACAAACTATAGTTTTGGCAAGTCAGTTAGGACATCTACTTTGTGAATGACACAAGTAAATAAGGATATATTGAAGCAACATCTCAAGACATCAGTCAGGAAGTTAAAGCTTGGTAGCAAATGGGTCTTCCAAATGGACAATGACCCCAAGCATACTTCCAAAGTTGTGGCAAAATGGCTTAAGGACAACAAAGTCAAGGTATTGGAGTGGCCATCACAAAGCCCTGACCTCAATCCTGTAGAAAATTCATCCACACCTCTACAGTACATCTCTTAACTAGGTGGAAATACATATTTACAGTGTAAGTCATCGGGGTTATTTTGAACTACATATTTACAGTGTAAGTCATCAGGGTTATTTTGAACTACATATTTACAGTGTAAGTCATCAGGGTTATTTTGAACTACATATTTACAGTGTAAGTCATCAGGGTTATTTTGAACTACATATTTACAGTGTAAGTCATCAGGGTTATTTTGAACTACATATTTACAGTGTAAGTCATCAGGGTTATTTTGAACTACATATTTACAGTGTAAGTCTAGATGGGGCTATTGGACATCATGTAACTTCCTGTGAATATGTTTCATTCACTAAGTAATGATAATAATAATGTATCTCTGTATCCCTCTCTATCTTGTAGATATGGTGGAGGATCCTTCTCATTTTCTAACCTCCTCAACGGTGTGACCAGGAGATTCTCTACTGAGTTTGAGCTGAAGCAGGTTGGTACTGTGGCCTTGAGCTGAAGCAGGGCTGCCCAACCCTGTTCCTGGAGCGCTAACCTCCTGCAAGTTTTCACCCTAACCCTGTTCCTGGAGCGCTAACCTCCTGCAAGTTTTCACCCTAACCCTGTTCCTGGAGCGCTAACCTCCTGCAAGTTTTCACCCTAACCCTGTTCCTGGAGCGCTAACCTCCTGCAAGTTTTCACCCTAACCCTGTTCCTGGAGCGCTAACCTCCTGCAAGTTTTCACCCTAACCCTGTTCCTGGAGTGCTAACCTCCTGCAAGTGTTCACCCTAACCCTGTTCCTGGAGCGCTAACCTCCTACAAGTTTTCACCCTAACCCTGTTCCTGGAGCGCTAACCTCCTGCAAGTTTTCACCCTAACCCTGTTACTGGAGCGCTAACCTCCTGCAAGTTTTCTCCCTAACCCTGTTCCTGGAGCGCTACCAACCTCCTGCAAGTTTTCACCCTAACCCTGTTCCTGGAGCGCTAACCTCCAGCAAGTTTTCACCCTAACCCTGTTCCTGGAGCGCTAACCTCCTGCAAGTTTTCACCCTAACCCTGTTCCTGGAGCGCTAACCTCCTGCAAGTTTTCACCCTAACCCTGTTCCTGGAGCGCTAACCTCCTGCAAGTTTTCACCCCAACCCTGTTCCTGGAGCTCTAACCTCCTGCAAGTTTTCACCCCAACCCTGTTCCTGGAGCGCTAACCTCCTGCAAGTTTTCACCCCAACCCTGTTCCTGGAGCTCTAACCTCCTGCAAGTTTTCACCCCAACCCTGTTCCTGGAGCTCTAACCTCCTGCAAGTTTTCACCCCAACCCTGTTCCTGGAGCTCTAACCTCCTGCAAGTTTTCACCCCAACCCTGTTCCTGGAGCTCTAACCTCCTGCAAGTTTTCACCCCAACCCTGTTCCTGGAGCTCTAACCTCCTGCAAGTTTTCACCCCAACCCTGTTCCTGGAGCGCTACCAACCTGTAGATGTTCACTCCAATCCAAGTTGTAACTAACCTGATTCAGCTTATCAACCAGCTAATTATTAGAGTGAAAACCTACATGACGGTAGCTGTCCAGGAACAGGGTTGGGGTGAAAACCTACATGACGGTAGCTGTCCAGGAACAGGGTTGGGGTGAAAACCTACATGACGGTAGCTGTCCAGGAACAGGGTTGGAGTTAAAACCTACAGGACGGTAGCTGTCCAGGAACAGGGTTGGGGTGAAAACCTACAGGACGGTAGCTGTCCAGGAACAGGGTTGGAGTTAAAACCTACATGACGGTAGCTGTCCAGGAACAGGGTTGGGGTGAAAACCTACAGGACGGTAGCTGTCCAGGAACAGGGTTGGAGTTAAAACCTACAGGACGGTAGCTGTCCAGGAACAGGGTTGGGGTGAAAACCTACATGACGGTAGCTGTCCAGGAACAGGGTTGGAGTTAAAACCTACAGGACGGTAGCTGTCCAGGAACAGGGTTGGGGTGAAAACCTACATGACGGTAGCTGTCCAGGAACAGGGTTGGAGTTAAAACCTACAGGACGGTAGCTGTCCAGGAACAGGGTTGGGGTGAAAACCTACATGACGGTAGCTGTCCAGGAACAGGGTTGTGCAGCCCTGGGCTGTTTCCTGTCTGTCCCACTGTGTAGAGGTCTGTTAATAGAGCTGGATGATAATGCTTGGTGTCAAGCCTCATTTATACCGTACCCAGCGCTACAACTACAATTAGCTACGTAGAATGACGATCCTGCGTAGCTGCGTACCAAATATATACAGAGGTATGCAGCTCCGCAATTACAAACTCACCGCTAGAACGCAGGATCGTCATTTTGCTCAGCTTATACGTACGTAAGGTATAAATTAAGCTAGAGGTATGTATGTATGGTTTCAGGGAAACAGAGCTTGTTTTCCTCCGTCTCAAATGAGTTAGAAAGTGCAACATTGTTGAGTCAGTATTCTGATTTCTACGATGTTTCTATAATTGTATGGATTTGTTTTTCAGCTGAAGCAGTTTAAAGAGGACAATGCCCATGTAGGGTTTGGCTCCGGGACGCTGGCTCTGGAGCAGGCTATTGAGAAGACTACGGCCAACATCAAATGGGTGGCAGAGAACCAGGAGCAGGTTATGAACTGGTTCACCAATGAATCTACGTGAAACACCTTCCACTACAGCACAACGCTACCAGGCCAATGGTGTTACTGCATATTTAACCATCAGGGAAATACAGTCGGTATAAAACAGACCAGAAACATGGGGCTGCGTCACAAATAGCACCCTATTCCCTATATAGTGTGCTACATAGGGCTCTGGTTAAAAGTAGTGCACTACGTAGGGAATAGGGTGCCGTTTGGGACACAGCTATACTGTATAATGATGAATAGACCAAAATCATGTTGTTATTTGAATCACGATGTGTGGTTTATGTGCATCCATCTTGGATTGTCAGTTGTTCCATGTTCTCATGTTCCTAAAATGTCTGCCAATATATGCTCCGTTAATATCTTGAGTTTTCAATCTACCTAGTACTTTCATCCTCTGTACCTTCAGTTGGTTATTGTAAATCTGACACAGTTTCCTTCTTTATAAAAGGATGCACTGGATTCCCATAAAAAATGACAATATCTCAGTAACTATGGGAAGAATATAAAATGACTCCTTTGATTAAAGTAGCATTTTTTTTAGAACGTGTTGCAATTGCTTTTGTGACCGACCAGCTCAATTATGTAGCAAAATTTGAAATTGTGTTTTTTACATTGGATAAAAGTAGAGACTCAGAGCTAGAAAATGGTATATCATACACTACAGTTGAGGAACAATGGGAAAGTCATTCTGCTTTGAAAGTTGATAAACTTGTAACCTGACTTGAATGTTTTGGGACACCTACTGCAGAGCTCTTCTTTGTCTACACCCATTCAGCATCGTTCACACCCTCTAAAGCCTTAGCCCCTCCCATCTCTTTAAGGATTCCCATGTGAGGCCATGTTCTAAACAGTCAAAGATTTCAAGACTAAAGGCTGGTTTATACTGCGTCTATCGATAGTTGTCGGGAGGGGGAGGGGCGGTGCCCCTTGCAGCCTATTAGACAAGCACCAGGTAGGGAGGGGGAGGGGCGGTGCCCCTTGCAGCCTATTAGACAAGCACCAGGTAGGGAGGGGGAGGGGCGGTTCCCCTTGCAGCCAATTAGACAAGCACCAGGTAAAGAGGGGGAGGGGCGGTTCCCCTTGCAGCCTATTAGACAAGCACCAGGTAGGGAGGGGGAGGGGCGGTTCCCCTTGCAGCCAATTAGACAAGCACCAGGTAGAGAGGGGGAGGGGCGGTTCCCCTTGCAGCCAATTAGACAAGCACCAGGTAGGGAGGGGGAGGGGCGTTTCCCCTTGCAGCCTATTAGACAAGCACCAGGTAGGGAGGGGGAGGGGCGGTTCCCCTTGCAGCCAATTAGACAAGCACCAGGTAGAGAGGGGGAGGGGCGGTTCCCCTTGCAGCCTATTAGACAAGGACCAGGTAGGGAGGGGGAGGGGCGGTTCCCCTTGCAGCCTATTAGACAAGCACCAGGTAGGGAGGGGGAGGCGCGGTTCCCCTTGCAGCCTATTAGACAAGCACCGGGTAGGGAGGTGGAGGGGCGGTGCCCCTTGCAGCCAATTAGACAAGCACCAGGTAGGGAGGGGGCGGGGCGGTTCCCCTTGCAGCCTATCAGACAAGCACCAGGGTCTTCAACTGGAGGGACATTACTCAGAGAGTTCATCACTACCAGATTATATCTGACAGTCAACAGTTTTGTGTGATTTTATTTGGAGAGGAGACAGGAAAGTTAGGAGAGAGAGCAAGTCAGAAGGGCATGGGTCATACATGTGTCTGGTATACACTGACTGCTTGGTCGGGTTAGGGTTAGGGATCATCCTGTTGTCGCAGGACTTTTCCAGCAGAGCAGGAAATGTAAATAGTAGTGTATTCAAGGTTGAAAAAGGCATCTAAAGTTTGTGATTTCCACTTTAACATTTCTGACTTGATTTTCCCTTACAAAAAAATTCAATTTATTATAATCCACATTACAATTCACATTTCCTGCTGCTGCAGTATTATTTTCCTGCTGTAGCACACTGGCTCAAATTATGATACGACATCTGTACAGTATGAACAGCTCAGACACACTGCACCCTGGGAAAGATCTGGACACTTTATACAGGGAAAGATCTCAACACTTTATACAGGGAAAGATCTCAACACTTTATACAGGGCAAGATCTCAACACTTTATACAGGGAAAGATCTCAACACTTTATACAGGGAAAGATCTGGACACTTTATACAGGGAAAGATCTCAACACTTTATACAGGGAAAGATCTCAACACTTTATACAGGGAAAGACCTCGACACTTTATACAGGGAAAGATCTGGACACTTTATACAGGGAAAGATCTCAACACTTTATACAGGGAAAGATCTGAAAACTTTATACAGGGAAAGATCTCCCAACACTTTATACAGGGAAAGATCTCACAACACTTTATACAGGGAAAGATCTCACAACACTTTATACAGGGACAGATCTCACAACACTTTATACAGGGAAAGATCTCCCAACACTTTATATAGGGAAAGATCTCCCAACACTTTATACAGGGACAGATCTCAACACTTTATATATGGAAAGATCTCACAACACTTTATACAGGGACAGATCTCAACACTTTATACAGGGACACATCTCACAACACTTTATACAGGGAAAGATCTCCCAACACTTTATTCAGGGACAGATCTCACAACACTGTATACAGGGACAGATCTCAACACTTTATACATGGAAAGATCTCACAACACTTTATACAGGGACAGATCTCACAACACTTTATACAGGGAAAGATCTCCCAACACTTTATACAGGGAAAGATCTCAACACTTTATACAGGGACACATCTCACAACACTTTATACAGGGAAAGATCTCCCAACACTTTATACAGGGAAAGATCTCCCAACACTTTATACAGGGACAGATCTCACAACACTTTATACAGGGACAGATCTCACAACACTTTATACAGGGACAGATCTCAACACTTTATACATGGAAAGATCTCACAACACTTTATACAGGGAAAGACCTCAACACTTTATACAGGGACACATCTCACAACACTTTATACAGGGACAGATCTCAACACTTTATACAGGGACACATCTCACAACACTTTATACAGGGAAAGATCTCAACACTTTATACAGGGACAGATCTCCCAACACTTTATACAGGGACAGATCTCACAACACTTTATACAGGGACAGATCTCATAACACTTTATACAGGGAAAGATCTCAACACTTTATACAGGGACAGATCTCCCAACACTTTATACAGGGAAAGATCTCCCAACACTTTATACAGGGAAAGATCTCCCAACACTTTATACAGGGACAGATCTCCCAACACTTTATACAGGGACAGATCTCAACACTTTATACAGGGACAGATCTCACAACACTTTATACAGGGAAAGATCTCCCAACACTTTATACAGGGAAAGATCTTCCAACACTTTATACAGGGAAAGATCTCCCAACACTTTATACAGGGAAAGATCTTCCAACACTTTATACAGGGACAGATCTCACAACACTTTATACAGGGACAGATCTCACAACACTTTATACAGGGAAAGATCTCAACACTTTATACATGGACAGATCTCACAACACTTTATACAGGGAAAGATCTCCCAACACTAGGACCTCCTGTGACGACCCTCCCACCCTGTGACGCCCCTCCCACCCTGTGACGCCCCTCCCACCCTGTGACGCCCCTCCCACTCTGTGACGCCCCTCCCACCCTGTGACGCCCCTCCCACTCTGTGACGCCCCTCCCACTCTGTCTGCGTATTCTCTCTCTTTGTTCTTGTTTCCTTATTAGGATGCCGGTGGGCGGAGTTGGGAGGGTCGTCAGCTACATGGGAAACACCTGGGCCCGGGTGTGTCCCAGGATAAATGGACCTCTTCCCTATTCATTGAGGAGACTCTCTCCAGGCAGACACCTTAGTGATTGTTGTTGTGGTAATTTTGTTGGTTGCGTTGGCACCTTTCAACACCTTGCATTATTACATTTATGCAAAACACTCACTTACACTACTGATTACTCACACCATTGTTCATTGTACTTAGTTGACTTTAGTTAATAAATTATATATTTTGGTATTCCTTGTCTCCACGTTGTCTCCCTTTTGTTACGAACTTTGAGCCGGTTCGTGAAACTCCCAACACTTTATACAGGGAAAGTTCTCTCAACACTTTATAAATGGTGTCACGCATACTCAGGGAGTCAGGAAGCAGGTGCAGAAGGAGAGTTTAATAACAATGATGCAAGGCAAATGAACAAAACAGGGGATGCGTACTGAACATGAAAACAAACCAATACTGCCTGAAGACTGAGGCTACTGAGGGCTAAATAAAGGGAAGGTCATCAAGGTGATGGTGGAGAGCAGTTGTGTGTAATGATGGGGAGCAGGTGTGTGTAATGATGGAGACCAGGTGTGTGTAATGATGGAGACCAGGTGTGTGTAATGGTGGAGACCAGGTGTGCATAATGATGGAGAGCAGGTGTGTGTAATGATGGAGACCAGGTGTGTGTAATGATGGAGACCAGGTGTGTGTAATGATGGAGACCAGGTGTGTGTAATGATGAAGTCCAGGTGTGTGTAATGATGGAGACCAGGTGAGCGTGATAATGGAGAGCAGGTGTGTGTAATGGTGGAAAACAGGTGTGTGTAATGATGGAGACCAGGTGTGCGTAATGATGGAGAACAGGTGTGCGTAATGATGGAGAGCAGGTGTGTGTATTGATGAAGTCCAGGTGTGTGTAATGATGGGAGACCAGGTGTGTGTGTAATGGTGGAGAACAGGTGTGCGTAATGATGGGGACCAGGTGTGTGTAATGATGGGGACCAGGTGTGCGTAATGATGGGGACCAGGTGTGTGTAATGATGGAGAACAGGTGTGTGTAATGATGGAGACCAGGTGTGTGTAATGCTGGGGACCAGGTGTGCGTAATGATGGGGACCAGGTGTGCGTAATGATGGAGACCAGGTGTGCGTAATGATGGGGACCAGGTGTGCGTAATGATGGGGACCAGGTGTGCGAAATAATGGTTGCCAGGGCCGGTGG